ATTTGTTGAAATTCAATCATTGATGGTCCTTATGAAGTTTCTTGTGACTTTGGGTGAACTTACCTCGAGTATGGATCCCAAGTCACACGAGCTCACATGAAACATACTCAGTAAGTACCAACACATTTGATAGTGAGTCAAATGTAAAGACATCATAGTCAATGATTCATATCGAAAGATAATCTTGTCGATCCATTCCATAAGCCGGTGTCATTGACCATGTCTGACAGTCAGACAAAGTCGAGAGGCATTAGATTTGTAAATGAATTGGCTTAAACACTTTTAGTTTGGTTTGTTTTAAAACCCCGAGAACTTTAAGCGGTATAAGTTTAATTTGATTTGGCGATTATTAAGTGGTGATCTTAATATATGATGGAGTTCGGTCATTTCAATTAGCTTATCACTGCGTTCTCACTTTTGCATGTTTGGAACCCACTTCCCGATTATTAATTTACTCAAACGTCCACAGTCGGTCATACTCTTGGAAGTAAGTAGTGATTCAAGATTGTCATGAGTATTGGTGGATTGTCCATATTGATTAGACATAGCATAGTGATTGCGCTAACACTCATGAGTGCTTAATAGAGATTTAAGTATTGGACCAACCCACGCTTAGAGATTACTTCATGGATTCAGTCACGAGTAATTCTAAGACGATAATATCTTCTATTCTTCAAACCTAGATACATGTGGGGTTTTGCTCTATGATTCTGTTATGCATTGGTCTACTCCAACGCTAACCGTAACTGGTAGTTATAAAGGGTATGTCCATGTGTGACTTGATGAAAAAAGACAGAAACTATGTAGTCAAAGTTTATTCGTTCCTTTTGCCTTAATAGGAGAAGCGATATCTCTGGGTCCCTCAATGATTTGGTGCTGACATTTAAAGTGCTTGGCCGAGCCCTGAATGGAATTGATGTGTTCAATTTAGTAGTCAGATGTAGTCGTCACAAATCTATATCGGGAAACATAATCTTGAATTCTTGAGATTGACCATTATCCATGTCTCGAATTCATACAGATATCATAGAACGAAGGGATAGTTGATCACTTATCTAAGGGCTGAATCTTGATTAGATCAAGAGTTCGGTAGTTGCATTGGATGGCTAACTCTCTGTTGATTATTAGAGAAATATTGGTCCATGTAAAGTTGATGACTTGTCCAAGTGGGAGACTGTTGGAATAGTGTCCAAGGTCATTAACTGTCGATCATATTTCTAATAATAGCAGAGTCCTTTTGGGTTGCCCTGAAGACCCAAATTGAGTAGAATAAATAAAGGAGAAATTGGTTTATTAATTATTATGGTTAATAATTAATTAGAAACTAATTGGAAATATATTTTGGGAATTAATTAACAGTTTAATTAATTAAAGGGTTGAATGTTCATTAATCGATAGTTGGTTAATCAAAGAATGTTCCACAACCTTATGGAATTAGGGTTGGATGAAAATCACTCCATCCCACATGGGAAAGGAGTGAAATTTCGTGGTTATGCTCCCATCCCACATGGGAAGGAGTACTAAACCTAAGGAGGCATCCAAGGCTATAAATAGGGCCTTAGGGATTTTATTCCTCCTTGCACCTTGGCTTGAAGTATTCGCCAACTCTTTTTCCTCCCCCTCTTAGGTACGATTTCTAACCCCTTTGGGTTTGTGAAATTGACCCTTCTCCTAGTTATTTTATCCCACTCTTTGGTTTCATTGGGTGTGATACCATTAGAAGGATTCTGGTTTGGGTCCTTTCATCCAAGCAACTTCATGGAGGTTCAAGATCTCAAGCATGGAGATCAAAGGCTACATAAGATGTATGTTTTCTTACTTATGTTTTAGTTTTCTAGGGTTGATGTAATTAACATGAAGCCATAGATCCATAGGATGCATGTACACTTAGGTATATTGTTGTTTCGATTTTTCCGCTGCCTAGTTTTAGAGTGTATTTGATGCATAGAAAACCCAACAAATTTCGCCTGTCTTGGCGTTTATGGACACCGACGGAAATAGAATAAGGTTTTTGTCACCCTAGACTAGTTTAGTCTAGCTGTAGTGAACAACTCAGATGTGGGGTGTCATCCTCGTATAAATCTATACACAAATCCCCGCTCTCCCTCCAAGAGACTATGGTTATAACTACATGCTACGGTCGTACACTCAATAGGTGTCAACCGACACGTATCACTAGATCCTTAATCGAACTTTACGCGAAAAGAAAACATATAAAGTACACTCCAGGCCCAATGAACATGTAAGTGAACTACTAAGGCTCACTAAGCATGTAAATCATTTCAAGGCTCGTAAAGAATGAGTTTATATAACCCAAACCCAATAAATATATGTAAAAGGACAACTAAGGCCCATTTCACATGTAAGATATTTACAGGCCCAATAAGCACGCAAGGAGTATCCAAGGTCCGTCGAGCATGTAAATGGGTCATCAAGGCCCAATAAACATGTAAATAGTATTCAGGACCTAACTAGCATATAAATGGGTCACTAAGGCCCAATAAACATGAGAATGACCTAATTAGCCCGTTTGTTATTATTTTGCTAGTTTTAGCTCTATTATTTACCAAAATGACATAAAAGGCCCACTTTTTGTAAAAATGACATTCTTAGCCCATTAAGCCAAGAATTTACAGTTAAGGCCAATTTTTGGTAAAAATAACATTTCAGACCCCTTTTTAGAACAAAACTTGTATTTAAGGCTAGTTTTTGTAAAAATAACATTTTTAACTCACTTTTGTCAAAAATATCATTTTTGGCTTGATTTTTATAAAAATGTGCATTTTCGGCCCATTATAGATAATTTCATCTTTTTGGCCCAAATTTTAATATTTTCGCATCTTTAATCCCTCTTATCAAAAATTTACATTTTTGGTACAGTTTTGTTGAAAATGACATTTAAGCCCACAAAAGTCCAAAAGTTATACTTTTTGGCCCAAAGCCGTGAGAAGCCCAAATAAGGCCCATTTTTTTTGTGAAAATTTGCACTTTTGGCCCTTTAAGACCACGAATATCATAAAGCTCCATTTTTATTTAAAAATGACTCTTTTGGTCCCTCAAAACCGTGAGTCACATAAGAACCTCACTTTTTGGTTATTTTGTCAAAAATGGCCCTTTATACGATTTTGGTTAGTTTTCACACATTTTTAGCATGTTTAATCCTTTCCACCACATAGTATGTCACATATGATGGTTTAGTTTACAAACATCACCAAATATAGTAGATATTTCGAGTTTGGTAAAGATCTAACATGTTTTTATAACATAAACACAACATATAACATGAAAACACACATATGCATGCATAAACACATAGATCTACACAAAACAGCTTGTATTCTCCCCCAAAACAAAGTAAAAACCGAAAATAGGGGGTATGAACTCACTTTGCTTTGGAGATTTCGGTTTTGGAAGATAATTGGAGAGGTTTTCGGCCTTAACAAGCTTTCTTGAAGTGATTTTCGAGATCTATGAAGTTCTAAGAGCATGGATCATGAAATGAAGTGTTAAGGAGTGAAGATTATCAAAAAAATGAAGTTAAACACTTTAATGAGAGAATATCTTACCAATATGATGACCTTTGATGAGAAGTTCTTGAAGAACACACACATACACACACTCGAAATTTTTGAGAGGTAGAGGGTGGGAGGAGGTTGGAGGTTGAGAGAGAATGAGTTAGATTTGAAATGGTGAATGAGGGTGGAGAGGGAGAGTGTGGCCTAGAGATAGAGAGAGGTGGGAAAGTGAAGAGTTGACTTATGAAGAGAGTGATTTGAGGTTTGCATGGATACATGAAATCTTGCATGGATATCCACTAGGTAATGTTGAGGTGTCAAACTCTATTTTACTCTTATTTGTTTTTCTATATTGGGCCGAGAATGAGAGGGGCAAAGAAGAGAGGAGAACTTTGGGGCATATTAGCTCATGTTTGACATTATGAGGCCCAAGTTGAGAATTTTCGGCCCATTGGGCTCTTATTGAGGGTTTGCCCAAAGGTGGTAATGGGGTGGGGTTTACGGCCCAATTACCATGAGAAGATGGGTTTACGGCCCATCATAGTTCCTTAAGGTGGTTCACGGCCTATAAAGGTTCATAAGAATAAGTGAGTTATTTTAGGTCCAACATGGCCCAATTGCTATGGTTTGATGAATGTGGGCCCAACTAGAGCCCAATTGGGTTTCATTGGTCCAAAATCATCAAATAGAAGGTTTACCGGCCCATTAGGCCCAATAAGAGGATCCTAGTCCATAATAAGTTTGAACCGGGATTTTTAGAGTTTAGACCTATAGTTAAGTATATGAGATGTATTGCATTAGGTTTTGGAACTTCATTAATGAGTTTTGATTCAAATGGATGATTTTAATTAAGCATAGAGTATGATATCCGCTTAGAGTACAAGTCTTACAATAGTTGATGTTTACATGATGACAGAATTTCCTAGCTAAAATGCTAGTTGTGACATAATAAAACATGGTAAATTTCAAGAGACAACTTATCCTTATTTCTTCCATAAACACTTGTGGACATATACTTACAAGACATTGTTAAGCCCATACTAATAATTTCAAACACTCACAATAAAAACATCACTGCAAGAGTGTGGTCTAGTCACAAAACATGCTGTCTTATGCTCGCGAGCATGTTTTGTAATTCACATTGGTTAATATTTTCTTAACAATACTTCAATTCCAGTTAATCTAGGCTAAAACCACAATAACAATACCAAAAATCAAAAAGGATAAAACCTATTCGTAAAAAAAAAAAAAAAAAAATACCTCAATTCTTAGCTATTCGATGGCACAGGAAAAGTTACGGAAACGGAATCCAAAGATAAAGGAATACAGACCAACGCCGAAACCGCCATTAAAACGGTTATAAGCAATGCAATCGCCGTAAAGATCGCTCGTCCTGTAAAACAAAAAATGTGGGGTGCGCTAGGTTTTTCGTGAAGAACAAAATTCAATTTATCATGCAAAAAATCCCATTCAACCAATTAAACGATGGGTTGCAGATGCAGGCCATTGGCGTTCTTAATAAGCTTGCCATTCGCTTTGATTGCCTCAGTTTTGTCTATCATCGGCTCCATCTTCTATGTTTTTGGGTACGTTTGTATATAATGATCACCTTCTCCCTCCCCTAATCGATTTCATCTTCTGAATCTTGAATCGCATCAATCGATTAAATTTCCAAATTCATAGCAGTTTTTCATCTAGTTACGATTATTTTATATGGATTCTGTAGCGATTATTTTTTTAACGTTCCAAAATATGGATGATTATCGATCGAAATTTATCACCCTACTTTGAAATACGTTTGTTTCTTAATCAAATTCCCAAGAAAACCATATGATCTAGGGAAATCCATGGACCTGTTACAAATTCTTTTTTCTTTTAAATGTATATCTTTCAAATTATAGATTAAAAATTGTTAAAGAGTATTTATAGTTGTGCAAATGCAGGATAATATTGAGTTGCATATGCCCTTGCTGCATCTGTTGTGTTCTGCTTGCAAATCTTGCTGTAATCCTTGTGAAGCTTCCTGTAGATGTTGTCTTATGGTTTCTTGACTTCATACCTTGTTGATCATCATCATCATCATCAACAAATGCTTTACATTCCATCTTTTTTGCTTTATTGTTGTTTCCCTTTAATTTAACAGTAAGAAGTTGTTCATATACGATTTCTACTGAAATTTTGTATGATAGTTTTTCTCGATATTTGTACGAAAGCGGATTGTAGTGTAGTATCAGTGAGTATCACAATGATAGCAGAAGTACGATTTTGATAAAACTTGCGTAGTTCTTTACTAAAAAAATATATGGTAGATGTTTTGTTTTTGGATTGGGAAATAAATTAAAAGTTTTAGAGTAAATTCCATTTTTGTTGTTGGTGGGCTTCCTGCCTTTGGCCTGCTACCTTTTTGCTTTTGTTCGGCCTGTCATCTTGGTCCAATCAGGCTGTGATTCAATGAATGATGTTGGGCCACTTGGGTTTGTTTTTCTTCATCTTGATAATTTTTGTAATTACAAAAAAAAAATAATAATAATAATAACTTATCTGTTGCAATAACCAACAACATACACCTTTAACTTTTAACATCAACGAGAACTATAAACAACCACAATAAAAGCAATTTGTCAAGAACAGTACATGAACATAAAAAGTTATCATTTAAAATGATTTTAATTATTTTATTACTAAATCGTGTATATGTAATAATAACCATACTAATATTTTCTAAAATTAAAACTATTTAAATTATCAAAATATTATGAAAACCCAATTTTCCGAATTAAACTAATTTTGACCAACACCAAAATATTATGAAAACTCAATTTACTTATTTGAAGTGATTATAGTTTATTACGATTTGACATTGATAATAAGAAGTTTTAGAGTTTCGTTCCATAAAAGTAACTTGATTAGTTATTAAATAATTTGTATATTTGTACGTTCAAAAATTGATTATGTCCGCTTCTTGTGATTGAGGGTGCTCACCTAAAACGGAAATGCTTGGGAATTATGTTCCTAGTGTTGGCCATGGGCAAAAGCAACCAAATCTTGACATATACATTGGAAGGTAAAAAAAATAGAAAGTGAGGAATCATGAACATGGTTATTTTTCAAGGCTAAAGGAATGTATTGAGAAAATAGAGTGTTTACATATCATATCACATAAGACTTATTCTGTCGACATTACCGTCAAAATTATGATTCCAAATGCATGCCACAAGCTATGTTGTTAACTTTTTCTAATGAATTTGTGAACAAAGATCAGATAACAATAACAATTATAGATTTTTTTTTAAAAGTCAAAATTTCTGAGTTTGAGTACTCGGCCGAGTAGGTTGAGTTTTACAACACTTATAATAGTATAACTATATTTTACCATTGCTCGGAAAAATCTTGTATTTTCATTTGTAATAAAACTTCAAAAACCAATTACCTTGTATATGTATGCAGAGAATATGATTGAAAGGATGATTCATAATTCTTCAACATTAAGGGTATACCTGATCAAAAAACAACTATCAAGTAACTAACCACAAGAAGAATGATATCGTTAAGCAACAAGAGAAAAGTACTTGCAGGAAATGCAAATGCTCTGGTAGTCATGTGGTCACATGATATTTAATTTCAAATACCTATGATTTCCACGTTGCAATAAAATGATTGAGACGTTTTTCATGACGTATGTGTATCAAGTTACATAAATAGAGGTTGTGTATCATGTGCCACCTCCCACTGAATACGAACAACCATGTGAAGTGATGAAAATTTTACATTCACTAATAGACAAACGTCATGATGGATGTCTACAAAACCCTAATACTATCTTATCCCAAGAAGAGGGTCCGATATTCAAAAAATGCATCAGCTGCCAACAGATGAGATACAAACGTTGGACTACCCATCTATGTTTATGGTCGATCTAGCAAAATCAGTATTATAAATTAAGAGTAAGTCTAAGAAATGTTAGTCGGTCACACAGTCAACAATATTTTACGCCTTATTTGAATAACCCTTTAAATTGTATGTTTATATTGATTGCAATGTTATTTTGCATTAAAAAAACTTAAGAATGTCATGTTATTCATTTATATATGTATAATACTTCAATCAACTAAGCCCCACTCACTAGAGTACACGCTAGTGCTTCTTCCTCATAAAATCGTAAAAACATAAGTCATCAACCATGACTTTTATTCACGAGTACCACGACTCGTCTGAGACGTAACCTGAATCCTAGTGCCTAAATAATCTATCTTATTTCTTGCACGTGCACCAATGTTGGCTCCTTCTCATATTCCTTGCGCTTCAAATTTAAGTAACATGTATTAAAGTAACAAAAGAATGACTCACTTTAAGTAACTTGCATTCTATTCGAAATTCGAAAAACTTTTCCGGAATAAGCATTTTGACCTTTAAAAACCGAATCATTTTACTCTTTTTCGGTTCAACATATGAAGTATAATAAAATGACAGTCATACAAAATGTTCACTGTGTAAAAATGTTAAAAATTAAACATATTTCCGATGTCCAGAATCCAAAATATGTGTTCTTACTCATAAATGAAACCAAAATGTAACAAAACTTATATAAGTAAAAGTGATTTTAGGAAAATGTCATACAATGTTGTCATTTTTTCAGAAAAATTGTTGATATTACCATAGATTCTGTGTGAGATAAAAATATATTTTTTTCTTCAAATTTTTTATGTAAATGAAACTTTGGAATTAATATATACCTATTTATTCTATAAAAAAAACCGATTATGGAGTAGGAGTGTCCACAACGGAGAGTTCAATGAGAGAGTTGAATAAAGTGACAAACCTAGTTGTAATTCAATGGATAGATGAAACTCTACTATTACGAGATTCCATATTAACATTCAATGGATTTGGAGTTCAATAATCACTGAACATTCAATGGGAAATAGAAAGTATTTTCTAATTCTTAAGTAAATATTTACATATGTTTCATTGAACTTTATAAAGTTTAATGCATTGTAGAATAATATTGATAGAGTTATATGGAATAGACACTGATGATATGACAATCCATTGAACTCAATGAAATCTAATACCTTGTGGATGCCCTCAGTGGTCATTTCTACTATCTACATAGTATGGTGGTAACACACTCTTGAGAAAAAACCAAATATTGTTTTCATTTTAAGATGCAAAAAATTCTCTCTTTTGTGGGATTTATCATTTAGGTTTTATTTGATGCTACAATTTTTAGCTTATTTCACTACAAAAAAATAAGTCATTTAGTAGCATACAAAAAGTATCACTAAAAACCCAAAAAAGTCATTACATGTTTCTCAGATGATCAACGACACACATAATAAGTGTCAATAGAAACGCTATCACTAAAACCCTTTAGTGACATTTTTTGTGTTCGCCGTTGCAATTTTTAATCTTTTAGTGATACTTTTTTATGTGTTAGAGTAGAAGAAAAGTTTTTTGTGGCACATATTTTATTTAAACGAGATTTTATAATTTAGGCTACTTATATCTACATACTTTTTTCTATAGTATAAATAAAATAATTAATTAAATTTCAGCACGCAGAAAAAAAAAATTTCATTGTTTTTCATCGATATTCTTAAATTTTTTTGTATCAAATATCTAAGTAAATGATAAAATACGTCTAATTGTGGAACCAAATATATGCAAAACGTTAAGTAATGAAAAAAAACAAAGACATGCTTGGTATTATAAACTGTGTTGTCTCATACTCTATAATCAATACTATCAATTTTCTTATCCAAAAACAAATAAAGACAATTTAAAATACAGTTAAATAAGACATAGTTTAGAAAATAAATAATACACCAATGAGGCCAAATAAACTATGTCTATAAGAACAAACGGAAGACAAAAGCACATAAAATTGATTACCATCTTCATGATGACATTCAAAATATGATCTCTGCTTGACTGGATTAGAGTTACACGAAACGGCAGAAGTGACATCTGAAATAAATTAATGAAAACATAGGTCACTACTAGTTTGCTATAATGTCATTGTTCAAAGAGAATTACCAAAGTATCCACCTTACTATATATATATATATATATATATATATATATATATATATATATATATATATATATATATATATATATATATATATATATATATATATATATATATACACACGTACCTTCTACTATGAATGACACAAAGTAACGCATTTAAGAAGATATATAGGTGCACCAAAAAGATTATTCATAAGGGAAACAATGGTATATGTCAAAAACTAGTCATTATTGATGAAAAAGTTGGTCTCATTAAAAATATGATAATGGACTAATTTGCATGTATATTTTTTTCGCTCATATGGTAATTGAAAAGAACAATACAATGATAGATAAAATATGTACGTGTATGTTCATATTGCTAAGAAGTCCAGACAAGTTTGCACTTGGGATACGTTCTTGGATGATATTCACGTTCACCATAGTTTTTAGTCGTTCAACACTTGATCTGTAGAACAAGAAACAACCTTGTCTTTTATGGTCGACATCCTTCCAACGCATTGAATATACCTTTTTTTTAGGACCGTTAACTGTAGGGTAGTCATCATTTGAAAAATCATCTACAGATGATTGGGTACTTGAGGAGTCGCTTACAATGGCTTGTAAGGAAGCTTGCATAATAGCAACATACAAGACACATGAGTTACAATGATTAAAAAACATGTGTAGTTAATGTCTAGGGAAGTCATTACCATAACTTGAGCAACTTTCTCATTCATGATATTTCCATTTTTACGAGTGTGGTTTTTTACATATATTTTTCCTAGTGTTGGGTATACACCATTTTTCAATTACTACAACAAGATTTAATTATGATGATCGAAATCAGGTGTTTTGATAATTCATATTGGAAGAGTATGGCTTTTTCTTCCCTTGCTGATTCTGAGGACAGAATCCTTTTAAGCGGTGGATAATTGTAACATCATGTTTTTGGGGATAGAAGTTTTGAGCATTTTGGTAAAAATAAAAGTTTCTTTATTTTAAAATAAAATAAATTGAAATGAAATAAATAAATAGATATAGAAGTAAATAATTTTTATTAATAACCCTCATAAACATTATTGGTAAGTCATAAATAAATTATGATAGAGTTTGGGCGTCAAAAGAAAACTTTTAAGGTTCAGGGGTCCATGTTTGAACC